GAAAGTTTCGATATGACGAAGTTATTTAAGAATATGACTCGAGGTCTTGGGTTAATATTTTCGTTTTGTCTCATCGTTCGATTTTGGACCTTCTCTGGTGTAAACTATCCTGTATTTAATTTCCTTACTTCATTGATTAGATTTATTATAACGGATCCATACACCGACATGTTTGAGGTGGTTATAATCTATCAATTTCATATTCTAATTTTTTTATGATGTACTCAGGATAGATGCTATCACTGTTCTAATTCTTCTTCTTTTATGTGCAGTGTCACTTCAGGAAATAGGCGATCATGATCTTCCATATCTTTCTGTCCCCTGTAGCTCTAAATAAATTCTGTCTTTCTCCCAACTTCTCCCAACCATTTTCAACCATCCATTTGCTCAATCTCATCAAGTATGTTACCCGCTGCTTTCCTCTGTCCTTCTTTCCCTCAATCTGTCCCGAGAGTATTATGTTTTCCAAGCCCTCCTTCTTCATTAAATGCCCCAGAAATTCTTTCTGATGTTAAGTATAAATTTCCTTTTTGTTTCCATTTTCTCCCAAACCCGGTTGTTACCAACTCTGAATCCTTTAATCATAGTTTCTCTTTTGGAAAATTTTAACTGAACCTCTTCTTGGAACACTTGGTAAAACCGTTGTTTATTATTATTATTATTATTATTATTATTATTATTATATCAACTAGGAACATATACATCATCAGCATAGCCCTCTCTTCGTGGCCACACTAGCCCCTAGAAGGAAAATAATGGTCTAAATTTTTATTATTGCTTGGGATGCAAAGCGGTACATTTAAATGTTCCGACCCATTTCTTCACATCTGCGATTATATACAAGCAACAATTAAACTATCTGAACCCTCGCTTTCACATCAATAAAAGAAACTTAAACTCATGGAGTAGTTGCTTATTTGACACAACACTATAATTAAATTTAATGAACAATATATTTATGAATTATACAAGTATAAAAAATAGGTATGTAAGTTCTGTTAAACTTACACTGGTATCAATGTTAAACTCTCATTTTGTTTACGGTCACATAATGTTGAAACAGCGCTCCCCTACGATAACCGAAATTAAGTAACATCAAGCTTGATCATTAGCTAAATTAGTGACTGATTGGGAATACCAGGTGCTGTAAGCTTGGATATGCGGATGGTTTTATCAATAATGGTTCGGAATTTTTAATCGGAGATCCAATTCCTGTTGAGTTCATTGCATTCACTTACCCGCAAATATACTTGGGAAAGATATGAATCCACCTCTTCTCCTACAGCTATTGGTTAATAAAAATTGTATCATAAAATTATTATTATCTCGAAAAAATTATTACAATCTAAAAATATTTCTTGCTTTAAATAACCTGCAAAGGGTTGATAAGCCATAGAATCAATCAATCAATTAAATTCATTTTGGTTGCTGGATCTTTATTTATTTAAAGTTGATTTCTATTGGCATTTATAACAGCCGGCTACAACTATTAGTTTCAGTTATAACGAATTTTCGTTTTTCTAATCAACTTTATAGGTTCATGTCTCGCACTTCTCACGGCTCTCACTGTTGAAACTATTAAATGTAGCCGTCCCTTCTACTCCAATAGCTTCATATCTCACACCTCTCGCCTGTGGAACTCCCTTCCCTATTCCTGTTTCCCTGAGAGCTATAATCTCCAACTATTCAAATGAAATGTCAATCGACATCTCCAGTTCCCTTGATCTATCCACTATCCTTCTCTTCATCCTTTCTTATATCACTCCTATCTGCTCTTGCTCTAAATCTTCTGTAACCCCTTTCGTGCTAGTGGCTTCCCGCCTTGCCTGGGGTGAAACGCTTTAAAAAAAACAAAAAAAAACTTTAATCTTCAATTTTATATTCACTATTATCTGTCACTCATCAGGCAGACCTTCGATGTCTTTTGAATATAATTCAGCAGGTTTGAACTTTTGAACGAACTCCTGTATCTAGTTTTCATTAGAAAAAATATTTCCCTATCAATGCGTTTTGAAGTAACCAAAAAAAAAGGATCATAATCAGTTGGTGTATGGTTAGGTAAATATGGCGGGCGAGGTAGAACAGACTAGCCTTGTTTCCCTACTTTTCTTCCTGCTATTCTCTGCTGCATGCGAACTTGTGCTGTCATAGAGGACAGCATTTTCTTTTACGAGCGCATGGTGTTTTTTCTATAAAAATTTTATGGACTCGTTACGACTGCTGTATATATGTGCATTTAATAAATCTAAGAAACCTAATCTAGATTTAATAAATCTAAAGGGATAATACTCCAACGATGCCATCAGACGCACAATATTATCTTTTGTCCAAGTAGCGCATTTTTTTTTTTTTTTTTTTTTTAGTTGCAGAAATGTATCCTGGTCAATACACTGCCATGTCTGTATGTAACCCATTTTTTCATTGGCGTATGTAACCCATTTTTTCATTGGCGTATGTAACCCATTTTTTCATTGGCGTATGTAACCCATTTTTTCATTGGCGTATGTAACCCATTTTTTCATTGGCGTATGTAACCCATTTTTCATTGGCGTATGTCACCCATTTTTTCATTGGCGTATGTAACCCATTTTTTCATTGGCGTATGTAACCCATTTTTCATTGGCGTATGTAACCCATTTTTTCATTGGCGTATGTAACCCATTTTTTCATTGGCGTATGTAACCCATTTTTCCTCTAATGTTATGATATATTAAGAAACAATTAGTTAAAATGATACATTCGTTATTATATTTACTTCTCCTAAACCGAAATTACTTATGACTCAGCTTAATAATATCAGCAGCCTCAATATGGAATAATGGCTAGTCTGGCAGAGCATTACTACTGAGTAGCGAGTTCGCTGCTCAATGGGTGTTCCATATTCCTGGCCTCCTGACAAACTAATCCGATCAAAAGAGGATAAAACCAATAATGAAATCTTGCAGTAAAAATATTGTCTGAAAATGTGATTTTTCAAAAACTCAAAATGATTAACTGTATTTTATCATTAAATTTATTTAATTTTCCCCCGACGTCCAGTTTGAGTAAGTAAACTGCTTCCGTTCTTTTAATCTTAAACCTCGCCATGGGAATCATATCACGTTCTTCGCAGTTGTCTCCCTTGAATATCTTTTTCTGTTCCATTTAAATTTTTATTTTATAACGAACTTTAACACAGTGTAATTGGCTATCATTCTTCTTTTATGAGCCAATATTGTCAGCCATATTCACGTCGCAGAGAATGTAAAACTTAATTATTGTAAAAGTCAGTGTTTAAATTTTATATGAAAACAGAATGTATGGTAGTCAGCCAGAACAGCCCATGATGCGATATATGAGGTCGAGATGTCAAAATCAAGCAAATACAGAAATTTAACTGTCTGAGATGATAGTTAAATTTCCCTCCTCTCAAACAATACAGACGATGCCAAATGTGATACAGAAAAACGAAGGCGTATTGGAATAGAAAAAATGCCTTCAAAAGCTAAGTAAACTATTAAAAAATAAAATTTTCCATATATAGAAAAGAATGCTAAATGCAATAGAAATCTTCCTACTTGGCGGTGAATGAGGAGATATGAAGCAATTTCTATGAGGACCTACAGAAGCATGCTGAGGATACCGTGGAAGGAACATGCGTGCAACGAGAAAGGTTTTAAAATATGCTGCAGCGGGAAACAACCAGTAGCCTACCAAACGAAACTTTTGTAAATGAATTGCAGAGATGAACTAAAAAAAAATATAGTGAAGGAATAAATATTGGTTTTGAACTAAAAAAGAAAGGAAGCCGTGAGAATCCATGACCGTCTACTTCTTAAAGGGACACGGCAGACAGGAAGAATTTAACAAAATAGGATTAATTATTCATAATTTCTTGAAATTTGTATTTGTTAGAATTCGTTGCGTCTCCTGATTTTAAAATTCATAAGTATTACACAACTGATTGATTTAGTTGCTAATTTTTTATGGGTTATCAACACTTTATAAGTTATTTAAAGCCGAAACATATTTTGGATTGTAAGAATAATTGTTTAATTCTCTGAATATTGCAATATCATTTTTAGAACAATAATTTAGAGATATAAAAATAATTGTATCCGGGCATGACTAAAAAAGAAACGAACTCGACTAGAATTCGAACTCAGAACCCCGATTTATTATTCCGAGCCGCTATCCATTACACGAGCTGATCAAGTGTTACACGAATATATTCATTAACACAAGTAGTAATATATATATATATATATATAAAAAAAAGTGAACATAAAGTCAACACTTAGAGGCGACAGTCTGTTTCATAAAGATGCAATCGAGAAAAATGAGTGCTGTTATTTTTCTCGACTGTTTATATATATACAGGTATATAGGTATATATATAAAGAGCCAAAAAAATAACAACTCGTATAATCTAAGTTCACTTTTTATATTTCACTATATTATTTTACACGCGCTATCTCTGATATTGAGCACTTTATCCCATCATCTTAAGACTATATATATATATATATATATATATATATATATATATATATATATATCTATATATCTTTATATATATATATATATATATATATATATATATATATATATATGCCTGTGTGTGTGTCTATTTCTGAAGATGAAGGAATATCTAATGAGCTGGTATAATATAGAAAATAAATCATATTGGGAAAATAATTGCGTATTTCCCAGCTATAATTAAAAGTAAAGCAACAACGACAGAACTAATTGATTGATCGTTTCGTTTTCTTCGGTTCATCAACTCTTTCCGGTTTATTTAAATTCAGAAAATATATTTATATTCTCAGAATTTTGGGGGAGGGGTGCTTAATGGTTTAGTCATGCAAGTCTTGCTTATTAACCCATAGCTGGGGAAGTGGAAGATATATATCTTTTCCATGATATTTGCGCATAAGTGAATATAACAAACTCAATGTAGAATTCGGCTCTCTGATTAACAATTCCGAGCCACTGTCTATTACAACACCCACGTATCCAAGCTTACAGCACCTGATATTCCCAAGCGGTCACCCATCTAGGTACTAAACAAATCAACGTTGCTTAACTTAGGTGATCGTACGGAATGAGGTCTTTCGACATGATGTGGCAGAATCAAAAATGAATGATGGGAAACTTCGTTTATCATCTCTTTTATCCAGCAGTTTGTCATGTATATAGCATTTCAGAGTTTAATTGGGAAACATGTAATGATGCAATTTTGTCTCATGAGTTTTTGCTTGAAAACCAACCAAAATTTTCAACTATCTGCAGTGTTCTTTTTATAAGTAAATGACAAATTTCCATTTTTTCTTGGCGTTTTTACAGCTGATGAAAAATGGGTTTTGCATGTAAACAGAAAACTAAAAAGACAATAATTGTCGTAAAATAATAATAAAAAAAACGTGTCAACGCCAAAACTAGGACTCGGCCTTTTTTGTGTGACGGAATATGATATATGTCGTCTATTATAAGCTATTAAAACATGGAAAGACAATTTATGCAGGTGGTTTTATTTTGCTCGAACCTAGATCGGATAAACGAAGCATTATCTGGAAACGCTGTTTTATTCTCAATGATAATGCAAGAGTAAAAGGAACTCAGGAAAAAATAAAATCGTTACGATTTCACATCGACTTCTTCCATACTCACGAGATTTAAAATTTCATTTGTTTCAATCACTATAACAATTCATACGTGGTAGAAAAGTCAGAAATAAAAGCGTTCAAATTAATCTTTCAAACATTATTTTCGGGGATAACCCCAGATTTCTTTAAATATGCAATTGCCGTCATGGCGCACTGCAGCCATTGAAAATGAAGGTAATTATATTTTCGGTAAATGATATACTAAATAAATTCAACTTACACTTGTTTTTTATATTCTTTCTGGTAACATGTAATTACTTTCTAAACCCCCTAATATCTAAGGGATAATATTTTAAACGAGTATACTCCTATCTTTTTCATACCACGGATCGGCTTCATGCCGGACAACGCCATTTTGCGTGTGGTGATTCGTAATTAGAATTCTTGTTTGAATATATTTTGTACTCAATGTATCTAATACAAAATGTATTAATTTTATTTGGATTTATAATTGGAATAGTAAAATTTTGAAGTCAATTTTCAGCAAAATACTGCGGAAATTAAATATCTCTGTATATTTTTCAGACCCTATTTGAAACTAAATGCTAAAAGATAGGTAAAATGTTTGCATCTAATATCTGCTGCTAGTATTTAACACATGAAACCCCCAGCTTTTTCGTCGAGTGCAATGTTGATTTTTTTCAAAGAAGTGAAAAATCAATCTGACCTAATTGTCATTCGATCGGGATAGCAAGTCACGTGTTAATATAATGTTCTTTTTTGTTTGTTTGATTTTTGTTTTTGCTTTTTTTTCTTTTTTTGTAAATTAGAAAATAAGAAAAATATAAAATTTTAAGATTTTGTTATGATCACATGAAACGTGCGTGGCGCTGCTCATCATCACATGAAAATTCAAATTTATCCATGATTTCTTTTATAATAATGATTAAAATTATAGTCTTAACGAAAAAAAAAAACAAGGGATCTGGAAATAAAAAAAATCCACCAATAATTTGAAAGACGACATTGATTTTTCTTTGTACAATTATTTTATTAGAAAAATCAGTCTTGAAATTAATATTCTCACGGCAATTTCATTATTTCTACTGAGCTGTTTTAAGGCTACAATTCGATTAGTACACATTGAATGCAAAACGGGAAGGCGGATATTGAACCTGTATTGACTGATTACTTCTTTTATGTGTTATGTCCCTTCAGGATATGGAAGAACATGGTTCTCCCCAACTTCCTACCCTCTTCGTTTGAACAATATTAATACAATTAATCTTCCTTACAGTCTCTGTTGTGACATTAATTTACTCGTTGGGTATGTTATTCGCTCTATCCCCACTTTCTTTCATTATTTCCAGTGAATGTCAAAATCTCCTAGATAACGTTTCGCATTATGTGTCCGAGAAATTTGACTTGTCCCGTTCTGATTCTTAGCAAAAACGTCCCTGTCGTTTCAATTTCCCTTGAATCGTCTTTGTTGTTCACATGTTCCGTTTATGATATTCACTGCATTCTTCGAGAGTATCATATCTTGGTTACCTCTAGTTTCTATTTCCTTTGTGAGGAAATAGTCTAGTATTCATTGCCAAATAGAAGGATTGATATCACATTTAAATTTAGCGTGCTATTCTTTGTCTATAACGATGTTTTCTCCTTTTTAATAATTTATTTAGCTTTTGGAAGGCATTTGGACTTGCCTTATTTTTTGACTTCGATCATCGTATAATTATCCTTCTTGTATTTGTCTCAAGGAGTTCTTTTTTTCTGATTTTCATGTTACAAACATATCCATGCCATTTTATCCAAAATTTCTTTTCTCTTCTAAGTTCTGTATGATCTTTTTCAATGTTCCTGTTGGAAATGTGGAAAAGACTTGTTGCTATTAATCAATACTGTAGAAACAAAATTCATTACTACTGTTCAACCTGCAGTAATACTGACGACTAGTCATATCCTGAAAAAGGCTCCTTGCTTTGAATCCTTACTGGTTCCCAAGCTCACACTAGACCTCAAAATGGATCGCATATAGTCGAGCCATCGCAAAAGATGTTGGAAAACTGGCCGGTTGCTTGTATCGCTCTACAAACTGCTTAAAAATTTCTAGCATACTTAGTTCTGGCTATTGTTCCTTGGTCCAACCTGACTCAGGATGGTAGCACTTGTTAAGATCCCAGCTATGAGCAAATAGTGAACACCAAAACTGGGTTCAAACCATGAAAATATAAAATATATTAGAAAAAATTACGAGAAATATATTTTCATAATAAATGTAAAAATTAACAGCAAAAGATTTTGAGAAAAATAGTTACCAAAGCTCACAAGAAAACTAAATTTCAGTATTAAATGACCCGTAAGATGTTGATATGCTGTTAAACAAACCAAACCAATTCTAATATACTCAATCTTTACAAGTGTCAAATATTAACAAGAATGAAGTGTTGCTTCCATATCTGTGCTGTTCTTGCCCAGTCTTCATTGCCCAGCCTCAACAGAATTCCAAAGCCATTACGCGAACTTGTGGATGCTGAATTATTCTCCACTCTGCAAGTTCTCTTCCACAGACGAAACTTTGCTAGCCACTTAATACTCTATCATTATTACTATGGTAGGTGTTCAGACGGATTAAATTCGCTGGTTCCAGTAGTTCAGACCTTTAGAATTAGGACCCGCAGTGCCATGTTCACAATGGCAAATTACCATCAACCTCTTTGTGTTTAGTTGATAAGTAGTAACTTTCCCTTAGGCACCTTCTTCCCCAAAACTGTTTCTTTGTGAATACTTACTTGACAACTACAATCTTGGTCTCTTCAATTCCTGGTTCAAGTGATACATATTCTATACGCCTTCGCAATGGGCAATTTGTAGTTCTTCTTTCCTACTCCCTTACAAAAATATCTACCAGTAATCCTCTATCATTTATTTGATCCACTAATAGTAAAAAATACCGTGTAAACAGAAAAAACAATGTCTGTCTAAAACAAATTCTTTCTCAACATTAATAGAATAATTCAGTACTTATACTCGAAGCAAACCGTCTGCATGAGGATAGAGAATAAATTAAGTAACAATACAAAAATAGAAAGGGGTAATAGACAAGTATGCGTCTTCTCCCCAGATTCATTAAACATCTACAGTAACAAATTGGTGACCCTTACCAGAATTTATCATTAATAGACGTAATCTTAACAATATAAGATACGCAGATGACACAAAGTTGATGACCTATTCGGAAAGAAATCTACAGGGCATCCTAAACTAACCGTTGACTCCAAGTTCTCAGACATCATGAATTCAAGCACCCTACGAAGCTGGCATCCCGGCACTCACTCTTTCACTGTTGAAACTATTAAATGTATCCGTCTCTTCTACACCAATAGCTTCATATCTCGCACCTCTCGCCTGTGAAACTCCCTTCCTATTCCTGTTTCCCTGAGAGCTATAATCTCCAACTATTCAAATGTAATGTCAATCGATATCTCCAGTTGTCTTGATCTATCCACTATCCTTCTCCTCATCCTTTCTTTTATCACTCCTATCTGCTCTTGCTCTAAATCTTCTGTAACCCTTGCGTCCTAGTGGCTTCCCGTCTTGCTTGGGGTGAAACGCTTAAATAAAAAAAAATGCATTCCAAAGGCCAAGTAAAATGCTGAGAAACGGAAAAATCATTAGAAACAAAGAAAAAATTGCTGAGATATTATGTGGCATTCATTCTCTTATTTGGACAATCTTCTCACGGATGAGGAGACAATTAGAGGCAGTAGAAATGTAGTCCATCAGAAGGATACTGTGAATTCCCTGGACAGAGGAAGTTAGCAACAAAGAACTCTTAAAGAAAATGATAACAGAAAAAACACTTAGACTCAGAATCACGAAAAGACATCTGAAATTTTTGGACACATAATGAGAAAAGGGAGCTTGGGAAACTTAAACCTCACGAGGCATACTGAGTGAAAGAGAGACATGGGAAGTCAGCGTGCCATTTACTTGACGGGATTGTGCGAATGGATGACTTGTATGAATGAATAGTGTTGGAGGAAGCTTAGCAAAATGAGTCACATGAGATAGGAAGTTATGGAGAGCCATGATCGCGTATGTTCTGAAGAGATATGCCATATAGTAGTAGTAGTAGTAGAAGAAGAAGAAGAAGAAAAAGAGCTAATCAAACGAAGGATTTTTCCTGTGTGTCTGTATTCTGTATATGTTGAGCATTGTTAAAACTTGCTTCAATTTTCGATAACTGCTCTAGATTTTGATTGTCTTGAATTCATAGCTCTGAACGAAAATAAATTGAAATGTAAAAGTGTTATGGGCGATCCGTGACAAGATTTTGATTGCAGCTGCCACTGCTCGGAGCATGCGCAGATCATGAACGCCACTCCTCCAAAGAGAAAACACATGTATGCTCCCACGTTTTTTCTTGCTTTATACTGGCGGTCTTTTGTCTTTTATCTGATGAGAAACTACTTTTCTTTTATCCTTATCGTACTTATCTTTCTGTGTTTCTCTGTTT